ATGTATCTCGCTGCATTGTGCGAGTACCTTTCTAATATATATATATAATGTGGATTCTGGTGAGAGTAAGAGTTAAATGTGATAAACGTAAGAAGGGATCTCAACCATTAGATGTATATTAGGATGAGATGCAAAACATATTTTTATTTCAGATTTCCTTTCCGAGATGAGATGTATCAGATCACCGTATCAATAAGGATTCATGAATGAATTTGAAATTAAAGGCGATTAAGGGTCCAAATCTCTTCTTACGATCCTCATCTTAACTTTTATTTCCATGATTCTTTGTCTATATGTGTTTCAATATAAAGAGAATATTTTTTTTCTTCATATAACATGTTTAATAAAAAAGTATTTATTTAGGGGGTGTTTGGGATTGCTTATTTAAAACAACTTATGCTTTTTTGTAAAAGTGCTTATTAACTTATGTGGTATCAAACTGGAGTTTTGTAAAAAGTGTTTGGATTAGCTTATAACGGTATCAAAAAGCAATAAGTTGATAAGTTGGTTTTTAGTGTTTGGCAAATTTGGCTTATAGATGTAAAATTACCAAAAAGGTCCTCCAATCAACCTCCTGTTCATCGTCTCCATCCTCGCACTCCAAACCCTATTTTCTCCAGATTCCTCTCCATCCTCATCACTCCAACCCTATTTTCTCCAACCTCCTGTTCATCGTCTCCATCCTCGCCGTGGAAGAGGTTGTCATCGCGAGACCCTTTGACTGGTTTCTCCCCGAGTTTCACTGCATCGGCGAGTTTCTTGGCACCGATTTCCGTCTCCAAGACGACATCCGTCTCCAAGATGACATTCGATTCGATTTCACAGGCTTCACAGAGGCTTTGGTGAGATGGACAGACCTCGATTTCTCTGGTTTGAGATTCTCTGGTTCGATTTCACAAACCCTAATTCATCAGTCGGTCGCTTGAGAGGGTAAGGGTTAAAATGGTAAATTGTTAATAAGTTGATTTTGATAAGTCAGGGGGGATTGACTTATCAAAAACGACTTATTACCGGTTTGGTACCGGTATAAGCACTTTTTTTTTTTTTATCCAAACACTCAAAAATGACTTATCTCCGGTACCGAACTGAAATAAGTTAATAAGTCAGTTTGAAAAGCTTACCCAAACACCCCCTTAATATAATAAATATATTTAAAAAATTAAGATAAATTTATGTGCTTCCGAAAGTTGATTCATTCATATGTAAATACTAATTATGAGTTTTCAAAAACCATCTAATTTTCCATTTTTATTTTTTACAAAATGGATAAAATAAGTATATTATAAAAATTGAAACAAAATTGCACATTTTAGATGTACTAATTCATATATAAAACAACACATTAAAAGTGGTTTGTACGGTTTGTATTGTTTTTGCGATTCGAATTGTTGTTTTTCACAAAACTTGTACCCATTAAAAGAAATTAATCGGAAAATACTTGGTATCTTTAGTCTCTCTTTGTTAACACAACTATATATCGGGTTACATATGTCCATGCATTAATGGTCTTCCGATGGATAATAATTAGAATGTAAATTTAATGCATAAATCAACATTCAGTGGATGTATGATAAAGTTTTAGTTACATTCAGAGTAGCGATAAAATCAAAATTGAACTCTCATGTCGGTTTTGCATTCTTCCGATGCAAATATCGTACGTTTAAACACTTATCAGTAAAATTTAACACTATCATTTACTTACCAGGTAAGACTTTTGTCCATCAAAACGGTATCGTATGCAACAATTTACCCGGTAAGATCTTACCATGGTAACTGGTAAGAGTCGTCGCCCTAACTTATCGGATAAGACTCTTATTCCTTGTCTCGTTCTTACCGGGTAAGATTTTTGGTCTTTATCATATTTATCTGGTAAAGTAATATGACTTAATATTCACTTATCCGAATAAGTGTTTGGTAAATAACCTTAAAGAAAATTTATTTCACAAATAGTTATTAAAAACATATAAGTTATAAAATTAAGCACCAATTTCTTATAAGATGAAGAAATAAAAACCTGATATTTACCATAAATGAAAAATATCCATTTATGGCTTTGGACCGATAATTACTATGTATGATAAAATATATTATATTATTACATGATAAATTCAAAGTTTATTATATATTATAATCATATAATATCTTTAATGGCGGATTATTTTTTGGCCTCCAAAACCCTAGAAGCACGAAATCTGGTCTATAAATAGATTTAGAACTTGCCCTTGTTCGACACATCTCTAATCCACCGTCAACCGTCGACCTCATGGAGGAGGAGCATATGCGCCAGCTTGATCCACCTCTGATGCCCACAACATCCTACCGTAGATTGTTGTGAGATTTCTTTCTTTATAATTTGTTTTACTCGTTTATACTCTTCATTATGTATCCAAAGACTTGATTTTTGATGTTTGTATCATTAGGATTAATTTATTATTTTCCTCAGATCAAACTACACTCTCTTTGCTAATACGTTTCTTATATGTGTTTTCTTCTTTAGAGTCATGGTGTTGGCATGCTCTATAAGTTCGTACATGCAACTTATATCATCACTTCGTCAATGTTCATCACATTTCAGGTATAACCTGATCGGTTGTCAGTTACTAATTATTGCACTTGTTTTACTTAGATACTGAATTTTAGTTTTTATTCTTTTGTTTATGACAGAGTATTAGTGGATCCTTCACCGCATATGGCAATGTGGGATCTAGCTGTTTTGGGTTAAGATGGGTCCTAATAATCCATCTTTTAAAAAATAAAAATAAAAATATTATATTATTTAAGTTGGAACATCAAATCGAGTCCTTCAAAAGAAAGAGGTGGCTCTGAAGCCGACTATGATACAAATGGTTCGTTTGACATTTGGCTATAGCCAAGAATCCACCCGGAGCTCAACAAAGAACTTAATGATGGTGGAGGCGGAGGCATTTAGAACAAAATTCAGACTGTAAAGATAGTGTTGTTAGAGATTGTATATCATTTCACTAAACCTTAGACAACTAAATTGAAATTTACTCTTAGAAATGTTTATGAATGTTGTTATGTAGTAATCATGGCTGATGTTATATCATTGGTCATTGTTCATTGTATATCATAAAGATGGAAGATTATTTAACTCGAAATTTATATATTTTTTCCCTTTCTGTTTTCAAATTCTTGAGTGAGTTGAGGATGTTATTCTAGATGCGATTTATTTGAGAAGTGGTTTGAACAACCGTCCTCGTAAAAAATGGATGGGCTTGGACTTACTTATTTTGATTAAATGAACAAACATTGGTTACAGAAAAGAAAATGGACATATCCAATGAACACTTATAACGAGTTTCTTAAGCACTTCCCTGAATATCAATAAACAGATTAGAGTTTTTCGATTGTTTGACTCAGTTTCTGCAAAAATTTATTCAAATTTAAGAAAATAAGAGGTTTAATTTTTTTCCAAATTTAGAAATTTTTTCAAAACTTGCTATTTCCAATATCTTTATCTCCAATTAACAAATATAGAAACTAAATGGAATAAGAGGGAAAAAATGTTAAGGATTATTTTAATAACATAATTAATGTAGAAAATCACTAACGGGAAAGTTGGAGAGTTGAATGTGATTTTCTTTTTTGCTATTTTGAAGAAATTGGTTATATTGTGCATATACTTTACGAGCATCCCAATAAATTCGTTATAAAATTTCCAAAATGAAGAATTCACAGTCAAAATATTTGTAAAAATTACATTCAATTTTAACAGAATCTTTACTTTACAGATTCTAACATTAATTATATTATCAAAACATTCAATATAATTAAAACCCCCAACAAACATTTAAACAAATTTTTGAATAACAATTTTTTTATAAAATCATAATATCTATAAACCTTATATAAAAAATAATAATTTTATGTAAAATAATAAATTCCGACAAACTTTATATAAAATTGATATTTTTAATAAACTTTTTTTTTTAAATTATAATTTCCAATAGAGTTGTATATAAAATAGTATTTTTTTTTTTTAATTGAGAAACAATTAAAAGATATCTTTTTTTTAATATTTCAGAGATTTCTTTTTAAATTTRTGAGATTTTTATTTTTAGGTAATTTTTGGATTTAATTTTTTTCCTAAAACAACTTTTCAATATTTTAGATTTCCTTTTAGAAATGCTATTAATGATTGACCAACAACTTTAGACAATTAAATAATTTTAATTTTAAAAGTTATAACATGAATAATCCGAAGAAAAAATATACAAACCAGTGTCATTATTTTCATATTGGCAATACTTTATGCATAAAAATGGGTTTTAAATGCTCTTGTCCAATGTTTTATAATATCCTATAGATATAGGATATATAAGTCTACAAAATATACTAAAAAACTAGTAGATTGTCACATCACACTAACTTCAAGATAAAGAACTAAGGTCTTTGTACAAAAACTCAAAATGGATGAAGTTCTTGTAAAAACACCGTACAATGATGGTTTTATAATAAACTACATTTTTTATAGGAACCTTGTATTCGAGACGCTCTTAGCTAGGCACCCAACACACTAAGCAATATGTATTCGTTTAATCCCTCACCCATCTAACCTCCTACTGACCCTTCGAGAAAATTTGTGTCGGTTAGCCTTCATTTGGAAATGGCGTGTTAAAGTCTCGTATCGACTCAACTCGTGAACCATTTATGGGCTATATATGTTTTAACCATTCTTCTCTACTTAAAGAGAAAGTAATCTTGAGATTCTATGTATACACACAAACCCTAATCCATTTCCAATCAATCTCTTTCGACTTCAGTTAGCTAGGCATCAATCCGTGTTTAAACCATGTTGGATGTCAACTTATGAGCTCGATCAGACGCAGTCATTAAAATTTCAAGATTCTTTATGCAATGAATTAGCAAGGTCTAGGTGAGTCATGATTGCAAAAAATTGGTTGGGTATAGGCCCACCGGTTCCACTTGATTGATCACAATAATTCAAACCAATTGACCCTTTTCTGAAACGATCCATTAGAGAATCTGACAATGGTGGTTTTCATAATTACAGTTGTTGCAGACCACTACACTTTTGGTTAATAAACACGTTGGATCGGACATCTTCTTATATCCACACCCACCTGATCGTTTCTGTCACTCTGAACTCACATATATCCATTATGGCGACTCTTACGGTTCCTCCTACACCGGTTAATCCCAGGGAAGACGCCATTCAATTACATAACGCTTTCAAAGGTAAATGCTTTAATTCGTTGATCAGTTGATCATCCGATTGAATGACGATTGGGATTTTGATTGACATCCTCTTTGATTATCCTTTTTCTTTTCTGATTTTAGTTATAAAACTTGACTGTTTGGATTCGATCTTGGTCCAATTTGTATGGACATCAAATTTTCAATTCTTGACTTCAAATCAGGATTTGGGTCTGATACTGCGACAGTGATTAGTGTTCTTGCTCATCGAGATGCGACCCAGCGGGAGCTTATAAAGCAAGAATACCTGACAATGTATTCGGAAGACATCCTTACACGTTTGACTAACGAACTTAGTGGCAACTTAGAGGTACAGAGCTCAATTTTGATGAGTCAAATTGGCTAGTTTTTGAAATTTCAAAATCGGTGAAAATAGTTCTTTGTTAGTGATAACGATTCATGCTGCAATGATCTGCATAAAGATCTTGTACCCTAGAAACTTTTTTGTCCTGAAAACATAAAACAGCCAAATCATGTCACAGACTGCAGTTCTGCTTTGGATGGATGATCCAGCAGGAAGGGATGCCAAAATACTATCGCAGGCATTGACCCAAGAAGTCGTCAATCTTGAAACTGCAACTGAAGTCATATGCTCTCGAACTTCTTCCCAACTACAGGCTATCGAGCAAATTTACCGTGCAAAATATGGGACTTATCTTGAACATGACATCGAACTGCAAGCTTCTGGGGATCATAAAAAGGTCGAATCTTCGCGAATTCTTGGTCTTTTTAATGGTGGGAAGACATCAATTGATTTGTAAAATTGGTTTCTAGTGTAGATTTTGCTTGCATATGTACGCATACAGCGTTATGAAGGCATGGAATTTGATAGGGAACTGGCTGCAAAAGATGCCAAGGCATTGTTCAAGGCTGGTGAAAAGAAACTTGGAACCGATGAGAAGGTTTTTGTGCGGATTTTCAGTGAGAGAAGTCGAGCACATTTGCACGCGGTGAACTCATATTACCATGAAATGTATGGATCGCTCGAAAAGGTTCTCAAGAAAATCTGCCTACATTTCTACCATCTCTCATTTTCTTTCCAAGATTTTCGCTAACCACTGAATGCCAACCGTTTTGCAGGCTATAAAGGGTGAAGCTTCAGGGTTATTTGAACGTGCCCTTTTAGCTATCTTACGATGTGCTGAAAATCCCGCAACGTATTTTGCAAAGGTGAAACCTTTAATCAATGAATTCTGTGAAAAACAAGAATATGGTGCTCATATTGCGTTGAAAATGGTTGCAGGTGCTGCGCAAGTCGATGAATGGATTAGGGACTGATGATTCGACGCTTATAAGGGTGATTGTAACAAGAACTGAGATCGATATGCAATATATAGAGGCCGAGTATCATAGAAAGTACAAGAAGACATTGAATGATGCAGTTAACGCTGAAACATCTGGGAATTACCGGACCTTCCTGCTCTCGCTTCTCGGCCCAAATCACTAGGCTCGTGTACAATTGTTCGTGTGTTTAGTTGTTCATGCCGTATGGTAATTTAAGGTTGCGATCGATCGATGTGTGTTTGTATAATAATTCAGATCTTGTATTTTTTATCGTATGTGTTTCCAAGATACTACATTTTCCGATCTCCAAATCTATCTTCTCTAATCTCGTTAGAAAGTAGATCTTATGTACGACATTTCTGAATAATATAACATAGTTTAACAGGAATTTAGGATATAATACATGGGACATTAATCAAAAACTCGAAAAAGTCTCTTGGAAAAACCAAAAAAAGTATTTCAAAATCAACCAAAAAAACCGAAAAAGTCTCTCAAAATCAACCTAAAAGTCTTTCGAAATGGAATTCGGCTAAAATTTTAACTGATTGTTTTTGTTTTTTTCAAACAAGAGCTTAGTCCCACGGTTCCACTTGGATCAATTCCACAAGTCTCCTTACGTACGTAAAAGGTTGACTACTGTAACGTGTTAGTCAATCAGCTGACCTTGGTTTCCACACTTTTGAACCCATCGAGATTCGATCGATCATCATTTTAAACAATCACCCACCTTCTCTTCTTAGTTTCCATTTCATTTCTCCGATTGTGAACTCACCATCTGTTTCTCCCTCGAAAACATCGATCTTTTATGGCGACTCTTACGGTTCCTCCGGCACCGGTTTCTCCCCGGGACGACGCCATTCAATTATATAAAGCTTTCAAAGGTAATTGCTTTGAATTTCAATTGGTCTGATCACCCCTTTTTCTTTGCCTCGTTGATTTTTTGTTAATTAGTTGAATTGATCATCTGATTTGAATAAAGACTTGATCAAAACCCGGTTTTGATTGAAACCCTCTTTGGATTTCTTCTGATTCTAGTTATAGAACGTGATTGATTTGATTCGATCTTGGTCTAACTTTTATGAACGTTGATTTCTCTTTTCTTGACTTAAATTCAGGATTTGGGTGTGACACTGCGGCAGTGATTAGTATTCTTGCTCATCGAGATGCGACTCAACGGACGCTTATTCAGCAAGAATACCAGAAAATGTATTCCGAGGACATCCTTAAACGTTTGTCTTCTGAACTTAGTGGTAAATTAGAGGTACAGAGCTCAATGTTTGATTTTCAAGGGTCAAATAGGCTAGTTTTTGAATTTGAAAATCGATGAGAATAATTCTGATTATTGATAACGATTTATGCTGAACTGATCTGCATAAAGATTCTTGTATCCTAGAAACGCTTTTGTCCTGAAAACATGAAACAGCCAAGGTGAATTTTGAATTTGGGAAGTATTAGGTTTGACTATTGAAAAATCATGTTGCAGACTGCAGTTTTGCTTTGGATGCATGATCCAGCAGGAAGGGATGCCATTATATTAAGACAGGCATTCAGCCAAGATTTCATCAATCTGGAAACTGCAACGGAAGTCATATGCTCTCGAACTTCTTCCCAATTACAGACTCTCAAGCAAATTTATCACTCGACATTTGGGGTTTATCTTGAACATGACATTGAACTACAAGCTTCTGGGGATCATAAAAAGGTCGAATCTTTGCGATTTTCTTGTTTGATCAGCTATGTTTTTGCTATATGGGATCACTTTTTTTGGTCTTATTAATGGTGGGAACTGGGAAGACATCATTTGATTGTAACTTGGTTAGTGCAGATTTTGCTTGCCTGTGTAAGCAAACCGCGTTATGAAGGCATGGAAGTTGATAGGGAAATGGCTGCAAAAGATGCCAAGGAACTGTATAAGGCTGGCGAAAAGAAATTAGGAACTGATGAGAAGGTTTTTGTGCAGATTTTCAGTGAGAGAAGTCGAGCACATTTGGTCGCTATAAACTCATATTACCATGACATGTATGGAGGTTCACTCCAAAAGGTTCTCAAGAAAATCTGCACACATTTCTACCGTCTCCCTTTTTCTTTCTAAGATTTCGCTAACCATTGAATGCCCACGATTTTGCAGGCTGTAAAAAAGGAAACTTCGGGTTTATTTGAGCGTGCCCTTTTGACAATCTTACAATGTGCTGAAAATCCCGCAAAGTATTTTGCAAAGGTGAAATCTTCATTCAACAAATTCTGTGAAAGACTACAATATGGTACTCATATTGGATTAAATATGTGTGTAGGTGCTATACAAATCGATGAAAGGCTTAGGAACTGATGACACGACGCTTATAAGGGTGATTGTAACAAGAACTGAGATCGATATGCAATATATAAAGGCTGAGTACCATAAAAAGTACAAAAAGAGCTTGAGTGATGCAGTTCACTCTGAAACATCTGGTCATTATCGGACCTTCCTGCTTTCGCTTCTCGGCCCAAATCACTAGGGTCATGTAAAACGATTATGCTTATCTTCAGTTGTTCTTGTGTTTGCATACTTAACACACCTAAATGGTTCTTGTTTGACTTTATGTTCTTATATGATACTGAGTTGGTGAGTTATCATGATCTGCTTTAACTTCAACATTAAAAGTCAAAGCTAGTTGATTCCAAGCATTTACTGTCATAAAGTTATAGATACTGAAATAATAATCAAACCTTATATAATGAGAAAGTTGCAAAGAATAGTTGTTTTGGTCAACATAGGGCAGCTGGAACCCCAGAATTCAAGATTTCTTTCTATATTCAAGTTTACTGTTTAAATTTTGGAATTATGTGTACAATTGATGAAGATGAAGCATCTTAGATTCAAAGTAGGCATCATTTGGTTTTCCATGTGATTTTCAGATAGACAACAATCACATGTCTATATGCATCAAATGGATTTTTCCTTTCACCTCTTTTGGACTTTTCGATCATTTGAAACTCCTATTATGTGTTGTGTGCGTGTATATAGAGGGAGGTTTTCAGGGAAACCTCCAAAAAATGAAAATCTGAGGAACACCATGGTGGCCATTCATCCGGACGGTGTGAAGATGTGCATCCAAGTAATTGAAATTGTTTTTTGGTTTTTATGCACGTGTGCATGTGCATATTACAGATTACTTGTATGCACATGTGCAGAACGTACCGGGTATTCCTCAGTTTTTCATTTTTTTGCGGTTTTTCCCGGAACATTACCCTATGTATGTATATGTATAGACAACCCAGGCAACCACAAACAGAAGCAATGAAGATAAGATTTTTGACTAGATCAGATTAGATTCTTGATTGAGAGATTTCAAGATCTGGCAAGCTTTATGTTCATATGGGGTTCATCAGACTAAAAAATGGAACCCCATCAGTTAAAAGCTACCATCTACAGTTAGACTACAGGACAAGGTGAAAGTACAAAAATACCCTTTAGGATCCCGTTTCTATTTCCACACCGGCATCTGCAACTTTCTTCTCTGTATCATCGTCATTCCTGTAAGCAAAGCTCGATGGAGGTCTATCAACAGAAAGTGTACCTTCCAACACCTTCATAACTTCGCCAACCGAAGGTCTCAAAAGATTTTGCGTACACCATAATCCTATTCTCACCAATCTTTCAACCCCCCCCCCCTCTGAAATCCTCACTGTCTACATACTTCTGTTCAACCATCACTTGATTCAAACTATCTCCCACCGTAAAGATCAGTTTGTTTCATAACCATCATGCTCGTATGTCCTTTACAGTTCCCTAAATCGACCATTTTCTTGCAGCCGGAACTACCAGAATCAGGCGAATGAAATCCATTCCCCCAATCATAAGAATCCGAATACAAACAATCACAAATAGGACCAGTAGAATTATACCCACAAACACTATATAAACCACAAGAACCAAACACATTGCATTGATCTTCTACCGCTTGCCATCCAACTCTCTAAGTTCGAACAGCATCATCCCACGAATAGATTCTCAAGTTTCCATCATGATCTATCCTAACATGCCTCAAACTCACGAATCATCACCAAAATCCTTACTCGATATCAACCAAACAATCTTGTTCCTATCATCATCATATAGTCCTAAAACACCCTTCTAATCGAATCTAACTTCTTTGACAGTTGCAGATAAAGAGCTCAAATGGGTTCTCCAATAAGTGATATTGCTTTCCCACATTAAAGCTACCCCTTCCGATTGATGAACCACAAACGTATAGTAACTGGTGAGGGATTTAGTCGAAGGGGCTCTAAGGTTTAGAGGATACCGGAGAAATTGGCCGGGGAGCAAGGCTTTGGTCGGCCGGTTAAAGCTCTCCCAGATCAATCTATTTTCACTACCCATTAGAACTAAACTACCATTGTTCAAGAGAGTTGCTTCTTGGACACCTAAATTTGAGGTATTACTGCTCCAAACTATAGAATTACTAGGGTTTCAAACAAGATTAGTCTCCCATCCATGGAAAGTCTGAATGTAGAGTCAATTGAAACCCTAACTCCACCACCAACAGTCCAAACAGGTAAATTTGCAGATTTGGGACCTAAATTGTACCTAATCCCAACAACAAGTTCACCAGCATCTCTCTCCAAAAACCCAAATTGAAAAACCCCATTTTCAGACACCAAGTTGTTATTGAAGTCTTTGGTTACAAACGGTCATATGACTGAGTCTGTTTAGATTTGAATAAGTATTTTGAATTAGTCCTAGTTGTTCCTATTTCTTAGCTGATAGTTTGCTGTTCTGTTTCCTGTGTAAGCCTATAAAAAGGCAGCTTGATTTATTGAATAAAGTATCACATTTCAGAGTCAAATTGTGCGTATTATCACCTGGTTTTAACAGTTGTTACTTTAACAGTATCATCAAGAGATGGTTGATCAAGAAGTCTAACAAACTATGCTCATTTGCTCAAATATATTATTCATGATTACATTAATTAGAAGTTAAATCACTATGCTTTGACTTTTTAACCTGCTTTTTGACCAATTTTTTTTTTTTCTAGAAGACATTAAAATGTATGTAGAATTACAAAAGTAACATTTTCTATCTTTTATTTATTAACAATTTTTTGATAATTTTTACCCAAAAAAAAAACAATTTTTTGATAATTAGCATAGAGATGCATAAAAAGTGTAAGCTCGTAGCCCTTTTCGAAAAAAGCCCGAGCCTAGTAAGCTCGAGCCTGACCTTAAAGCTCGATGAACCAACTTCTTTTTCTAAGACCCAGGAAAAGTTTGGTCCAAAAAAGTCCGAAACACGAGGCCCAAAAAGACCCAATCAGGTCCTATTTCAACCCCAAAGCCCAGTTTGACATGAGACTGAAAAAGTTTGGAATTTTTTTTGCTTATTTAAAAAGAGGCTTTGAGCTTGGAAAAGGATCGAATCTTGTGCATCTCTAAAATAGCAGCTAATAGTGCAATTTGAAGTTTGAAATCTAATGGGATGTTTGGCAGTTGTTGAATGGTTTGATGCATAATTATTAAGAGACTCTCATGATATAATGCAAAATGAAATATAATTGTTTGATAATTATTTACAACGAAATTAGGGCACTGAATGGTGAAGGGAGGCCCAGAATACAAAATCATTCAGAGAATTTTAGAACCATCAAGAGACGGACTTTTTTTTTTGCCAAACAAGATTGACTTCTTAATGATTCAGAGTTCTATTAAGAGGTAAACAAACAACCTACGATATATCCATAGTTCCAATCAAAGACGACAAAATAGGAAATCTGACATATTGGAAAAGGGTCATGATAATAACATGAACTTTTTTAATGTGGGTCAACCTAATCCGGTCGGACTATGTTGATCCCATTAATTACTTGTTTTATTTTTATTGTCTTTTTATAAATTATTAATGTTCTAAATATGTTTAAAAAATTATACTAATATCTTATTTTAATGAAACAATTTCGAAGTTGTAAACATCTAAATACTCTTTAAACAACTTTCGTTTTGTTATAAATAAAATATAATCGACATAGCTTTTACGAAAAACTCGACCAATATGTTTGACTTGTTGATCAAGATATCAAGATTCTGTAACCAAATTTGAAGTGGATGAGGATCAGATTCTTCCTAACTCATCACAAGACTCAATTACTCCATATGATTGATGCACCCTTGTTCCAATACATGAACACAAACCAACAATCCTATATATATATATATATATATAATCTTAATGTTTCCTCTTGTCATCTTCTTGTTTGTTAGATTTACTTATAACAATCTAAAGTTCTTCCCTTCAAATCCCTTTTATGGATATGGTTAGCAGATTATTAAGATCAGATACAAAAGACTCACCATTCAGATATAGTTCTTCAGATCCTTCAAAAAACTATAAAAATATGACCATAACCTAGTTGGATCGAACCTTAGACCTGATGTTTCAATGAGATGCATATAATAAAGCTATATCTACATAAGCATATATAATAACTCGAATAAGCGTTTTTAACAAATGAAAGTTTTGACTTACGTTTACGTCTCTTATAATTTATTGAACATGTCAAATACTTTGGATAAGACCAAATTATATGTCTAATATGATGAGGTTAGTATTAATATAAAGAAATATATGAAACTAGGAATCAAGATTTCTTGATTGAATACCCAATGTGAAAACATTAATGCAAAACCCTAAAAATTATTTTAAAAAGAGGGTTGGGCATCTCAATCACATGTAGTCACCATGTTCCATTGCTGAAAGGAAATCTGATGGTACCACAGACAAGTACAACTGCCATTTCTAGTAATCTATACTTAAATTAACCATACAATATTGCTGTACCAAAACCTAGGCCCAAGAATATTTGGTTCCCATGGATCTTTGTTTTATTTCACCAAGCCACATTGACTTCAATTATGTTAGACATCACCTACACTTTCTTTTTTTCCATTAAATTATGGTGTTGTTACTCAAGTTGACTTATCTTTGATGTATGGATTAAGATGTATGTGTGGATTAATCTGTCTGATTTAGATTTAGACGGTTTTTGTTTAGGATTGTTTGAAAAAAATTGACTTTATGTATAAAGCTCCCCCTAGAAGCTTTCAATAAGTCATTTTCTATGTCATTAAACAACTAACAAACAGTCGTCTATAAATAACTGAAAAAGTTGTGAGTCTTATTAAGCACATTAGGCTTCTAACAGACAGGACCCGAGTCTTTAAAGAAATGAAAACTTTTGCTTCAGTGGTTTACATCAGAGGAAAAGAAGCATAAACTGCATACGAAAGTGATGCATGCATACTTTGTTTTACTAAACAATATGAAATGATAAATGTGCACACGGTTTCCACAGGCCAATAAGACCTCCATTTCCTCCATTAAAATCCAAGTAAACTCAAAGTAAAAGATGGGTATTTGAAACTTTGACTTAATCAAGAGTCAAAGTCTTTCACTTTATAAATTAATAATCAAATATCATATGGAAACTTCCTGCAAGTCAAAGAAAGGGGAAAAAAATTGAACTTTCTTTCATTCAACTGTAAAAAGGCATTGATATCAATGAATACAAATGTAACATCTACAATTCTCTTTTGCATCTGTATTTGTGTAAGAGAAGAAAACTAAAGCTGTATACAAGGTTGAACACTTGGAACTTCAAAAAGAATGAATAAAATGCCTATGTCAATTTCATATTCACCCTAAAAGAATGGAGTTTTTAATCAAAAAGAATCTGTAAAGTTACTTACTGGGGAAGATCTTGTTCTGTAAGGTCCAAGATTTCTTGAAAGCAAACTCTTGTTATCAAAAGAACAAGGGCTGCTACAAAACACCTTATTGGTATACTTTAGGCTACAAGGAGCACTTCTTGGAGATAAGTTTGCTTGCTCCAATGCTTGTGATTGCAGCTCTGTGGGATAATCCCTCAAACAGCCGATTCTAGGTCCGGCTCCTGTGGTCCATTTGCAAGAAAGCTGCCTTCCCAATTGAAATGAACTTGTCCCTTTATGGGAGTTGATCCTTTTAAGGATGGACTTTTTAGGAATTGTCTCCTCCATCTTTGGATCATCTTCTTCATCGTCTGATACGTCATGCTCCGACGGATCGTGAATTTGGTGTGAACCAAACGAGTCTTCTGCTGCTTCATAGCCATCCAATATGGTCTCTGATGTGAAATCTTTGCTTCCTTCTTCTGCTGCTTTGTAACCATCCAAAGTGGTCTCTGAATTCTTAGACACTGCTTCATCCGCTTGATTCTCGGTCTTTAGATTTGTAAAAAGGTCGTCATTGCTTGGTATCTTGAGAGTACTTAATTTCCTACTAGAACATCGAAACAGCCTTGATTTCTTTGGTGATTCTTGTGGTAAACAAGTATGTTGTTTCACGACATTCACCATTTTTGAGGGATGATCCTCGACAACTACCTCCTCTGTCCCCATGCGCTCCTTTTCGCTCACATCTTCTTCTGAAGAATGAGTTCTTATATGAACGCTACTGCTCTGTTTGCCAAGAGATTCTTTATCATCATCGTCCGAATCCATCTGATAGCAATAATGAAAGGAACAGTGAGAAATAATCTAGCATTATCTTCTATCAAATATAGAAAAACTTCAAAAATATTATGAAGAACTGTTTTGAGCCTCTTTTTTACCTTGACATTAGTAGTATCCACGTCATTCTCTTGAAGAAATGAAACAAAATCTTGAAAATTTTCTTGCGTGGGACGATAATGACCACTATGAGGCCAGATTGCCTGTTGAATAATCAGAAACAGAAATAAAATTAGACACCATTTTGAAGCAACAAAAAAACCAAGTGTCAGGTGACATCTTAGACTTGAATTACCTTTAAAACACCATCCTCAGAAACTAGTCTCCCAGCTGCCAAAGTGGCTCCTCCAGCCAAAAAACTTGAATGTTGAAACAATCCTTTCTTTTTTATGCCAACATATAAAGTCCTAGATGTGCTGAGCACAAAGATCCACTTAGAACCCTTTGGTGATCCTGTTGTATCTATGTATTCCCCAGTTTGTTTGTATAAAAGCTTCCCATCTTCTATCACAACCTCATACTCCTTCCTTTCCATCTGCAGAAAGATATCAACAATCTTGATAAGCATTTGTTCTTGGCATTTAAAAAGAATCAAACTAGATTAGATGGAAAAGGGACATACTGGGCCAAGATATTTGATGCATTGCTGTTGAAGTTTTGATCTTGGACATTTTTCAACAAGATTCACTTCTTTCCCTTCTCCTATATCCAACCTGAGTTTTCAAATATGCTAAGGTTAGGTGTAGGAACTATATGCATGATGATCTTGCAATGAATTTAATCTTATGAATTCTACTTACCAGTAGAAAAAGGGTTCTTTGCTTTGAGAGTGCAACCATTGTCCATAATAGAAGTGAAGATTGTGCCCATAACGATGCCTTGGATCAATCTGTTACAAAAAATGTTGATTTTAAGAAAATAGAACTCCGGTTGAGAACAAGAAGTAAGATCGATGTAAGTCTCACCGATCGGTTAACTTACCGCTTCAAGCCAGTGCTGCAAGGCAAGTTTCTGAGCTTTGCTATTCTTTGATAACCCTTTTCCAACCTATAATTCAAGAAAAAACCCAAAGCTTGTTAACTGTTTGCATTTACTGAGGCTGTTTACGCCATCTAATTCAACTTTTTTCGTTCTCTTAGTATTTGATTTGTTACAATGTTTCTAAATATACCTTGGCAGCCCTTGTTCTTGCTCTGGACCATCGGGAAATAGCCGTCTCATGCTTATCGAGATCGAAAAATGATATAGAACTCCTCTTAAGTTCTGCAAAATCTAAGAGCTTCCACCTACAAAATTCACAAAGCTTCATTAAGGAAAACTTGTAAAACATACAAAAACGGTACATGAATGAAGTACTGAAGTGGGAAAGAATCGCATACCAGCTTTGTTCGATCAGAACCGCACAATCTGCCAGCTTTCTTCGTGTTCGAAAGCTTTTATAAACCTTTTGCAGCTTTGTGGCTGCTTCATGTTTGGGGCTCCCTTGATCAAAATCATCCAACACATTATTAGATCTTGGAGATTCAACATGCATTTCGATCTTTTCGGCTCCAATTCCTTCATCTGAAGAAACTTTAAAGCTAACAGATCCTTCAATCTTCATTGTTTGAGAGACCATTAACTGCATTGCTGATGGTTCAGAATCTTGGATCTTAAAACTGCAAGATAACCCCAAACTTTTAACTTCATCGTCCTCTAAACTGATGGACTTCAAGCCAGCCTCTAAATCAGTATAAGCTGCGAATGGACACGAAAATGATAACCCCATGCAAGTCCAAAAGGTCGCTTGAATCTTGAAGAGCCTCTAAGATTTGATTTCCCTGTTAAGTCATTCAATTACCTTCTGATTAGTTAATCAAGATCTTGTTAATAGAAAAGAAAATTTGTAACAAAAAGAACACGTATATATTCAAGATTATAACACATCAGAACCGTTTTTTATATAATTCTGCGTGGCCGCAGCCCACAAGTGACAACTAATAAAACAAACAGCAAACAAGATGAATTGTAATGAGCTGTGACATCCTCAAATAACAAAAACCTATAAAAGAAGAAAGTTTATACAAATAGCCATATGCCAAGACACCCAGATTAAAGAAAGTAATCACGAAAAACAAACTCAATGCCCGTTTGAAGTACTTGATATGCAAAGAACGGAAGAATACATTCACAAATCAAACACTTGCAGGAGGACCCATACCAAATAAGAAAGTGCGGCAAAAATCCATTTTCTCAGGAAGAAAAATCAAATCTTGAACAGTAAAAGTTTCTAAAATCACTATCATAAAAAAAAAGGGTACTTCATTGACACATTTCATCAAGAACCTGGTGGCCGTAAAGCGGAAAGAAGCAAATATGGCAAGAAATTGATTACGAACATATTCCCAAAAGAAAGGGTAGAAGTACCTTGGAAAGATGAGGGTTTGAATGTCGAAAAGAGGAATTTGATTAGGTTCTCTGAATGGGTGCTTTTTGTATTGCTCTTCTTGATATCAGAATGCGAGAGGATGTCCACTGTGATTGTAAATGAGAACCCTTTATATAGAACCCATCACGTAGTTTCGGGATGTGGGTGAGTGAGAAAGAAAGAGAGAGAGGGGGGCACGTGAAAGACCAACACTTTGTGCTAAGTAACTGTGGATCTATTATTGAACCTTAAATTTTTTTTGATAAATTATAAATAATTAGTAGTTGTTTGTTTACCTCTTAATAATTATATTAAGAGTTAATTTTTGAATTTTGTTTGACAAAAAAAAAAATTGGCTTTTAATGGTTCTAAAACCTTCTGAATGATTTTGTATCTTGGGTTTCCTTAACCATTCAGCATCCTAATTTCATTCTGAATAATTACCAAATAATTATATTTCATTTTGCATTGTATTATTAGAGTCTCTTAATCATTCGGACAATTTAATCATTATGCACCAAATCATTTAGCAGCTGTCAAACAGCCCCTTACTATACATAATAATGATAAGCACTGATCTAAAAAGCATCCATAGCACTCATCACGTCGCGTTACGATTTAAAGTTTATGTCTAACGTTGCGTTAAGCCTGTGATATATATTGGATTAGTGCACAGTTTTTAATGTGGTATTTGATTTTTCATACCATTTTAATGTCTTATTTTTTAGTTTTAAATATATAATCTAATTTAAATTGTTTGTTATCATTGACTCATTCAATAATAATAATAAAAATATGTTTATATATATATATATATATATTTATGCGATAATGATACATATTTACAAAAATAAAAAATGGTCAAATTACGTATAAAATCACATGTGATTTTACATTAACGGGTAAAAAAAGGGGTGAGGTGACTTTGGCCACGACCTAAGGTCGCGGGACAAAGTCAAGTGAATCACATGTGATTTTATATGTGATGTTATTATAAAATCACATGTGTTTCGGTTATTTTTTTAATTTTTTTAAATAGGTATCGTTCTCGTATAAACCCGACTCTATATATATGATATTAGCAATTTGTCACCATAAGTCACGTCTTGATAAACGTCATGGCGCCTAAGACTTGAGGCTTGGGCTCGCTACCACGCCATGTCTCACACCATTTAAAACCTTGATGACAAGTAACTTGATAAATATTCATGATAAGTTAGTAACAAATGTTCATTATAAATGTTCATATATAAAGCAGATAACATAAAGATGATTGTAATTTCTATTTTGTTCAAACATAAATTTTGAGGATATTTTCAGTAAGAACTTGTATCAGTTTATCACTTATGATTTACAATATTGTTGCATAGCATGGCTACACAACTAGTTAATATAATCTATCAGCTTTAAAAATCTTTTTTCTTAAAAACCAGTAAATTTTATTTAGTATAAAATCCAACGTTATACTGATATTCGACAATGACTTGATCCAATGATCACGAGTCGACACACAGTCATCTCATCAAGTCATACTACTCCTCACCATCTACCTATTCTTCTGGTTGCCTCCAACAACCATAGCAAAGAAACCTTCATAACTCGATCGTTTCTTGCCACCTCCTAAACAACAGACAGTCGTCACATTTTGTTACTACATAACTTATGTTTTACAAGATATTAAATCAAATTTACATGTTCATATTGATACTATTTTATTTTATTATTTATAAAAGAAAAACTTTTAACATAAGGTTCGCATGTCATTCTATTGACTTTATCATGTATTATTTGTCATTCAATTTCACATTCTTCATCTTGGGTCATTTTCATTGTAGATTACACCCTTTCTCATTTAAAGGGTTTATTTTGAATATCCATGAGTTTTACACCGGGGACCGCTCTATTCAAAAATGAGAAAAACTACAACGTTTGTCGTTAAATAAGAGATATGGGAACGTAAATTGAGGAATTCTTTTTTGTCTTTTTATAGATTTGATATTTTCTACACTGTAAACGATATTGTATCCAAATTATAATTAAATTTTTCATGTTTCTGATGTACTTATTTTTAATCGTAATTAATACAATGTAGGGTGATGAGATTTTTTACATGGGTTTTTATGAGTAACAAATATCGTGAATCCAAATGAAGTTTTGACCCTGTGTCAGAGAAAAAGAACAGACGGATATTATAGGATTCTGAAAAGATTTTTCGGTTTCCTCAGAAAGAGATAGTTAATCATGTATTTCTTACGTTCTTTAAATAGTCAGGACATTAAAAACTATAAAAAAAACGGTTTAAAATTTTTAATATATTATGAACCATAAATAATTAATTATAAATTAAAATGTGAAAAATACAAGAATGGATAAAACACTTTTGGGTCTCTATAGCTACCCTCATCCCCACCGACCCCTCCTTCCCCTTTAAATCCCATGGGTTTCATACTTCATACTACTAACCAAGTCTCTATTATAAAATATTTGATAAAAAAAATTAAAATTTATTTTTTATATATAAAGTATTGTTTATTAATGTTTATAATTACAAGTAAATTGTGTATAAGTACAACTTATTAAAGCTCTATTTTTGAATTTGTATAAATAACTGCAGATAMACATAATCAAAAACAGAATAAATTAAATATAAACAATTTGAAATATAATTAGGACAATAATTAAGTTCTAACAGAATCATTATATTAATAAAAATCAAAAATAAATTATTTCACTATTCGACCTAAATTTAATTACCATAAAAAAATTGAATTAAAGAAATTGTATAAAAAATGAGAACTTTTAAATGCTTAATTTGATATTAATATCGATATATTTTTTTCAAATTTTTATGGTATCTTCAAATTTATTTTTACTCAAAAGTAAAAACATCATCTTTAACAAAATCACATAAACCGTATTATATATCAACAGAGACAAAAAAAATAAAACGAAACATTAAAATAAAAATACATCTGAATGCATTGCACAAGTACCATTCTAGTTACAAATTATATTATTAATAAATATATATATATTTTAAGTAATTCAAGCTTTTAAATCGACTTTGTTTTTATAATTTTAGTATCACATAATTTTAATATAGTCATTTAAACATTTTATTTCAGTCTTAATAGCTAGTTGTATTAAATAATATGCAGACAACCAGTCATGTCCAATTTCTTTCTATCTTATCCATGTACCAAACACATCCGAAAAATCCCGATATGTCACGCAACTTGGCAAAACGCTTTGTCGTTTTTGCCCCAACTTTTTAGGTCCAAAATCCATCATTTGGGTACAGTTTACGACTTTCCCCGCAGTTTATAGGTTTTTGCAATGTGCAATCTTGGTTTATCTTTAAATAAAGAACTTCACTGTTTCAAGTATAATCTCGATGTAGCATAAGTTATTTCGTGCTTCCATTTTGTGTCAGTCTCGAGGAGCTATCGAATCAAGTTCGAAACCATTCTAACATCTGATCGAACTCAATCTAATTTTGACTCGTTCACCGTCCCAATTAATTTATAGTACAAAGTTATTAACAAATCTTATTTTATAGATAACCCACTGATTGAAATTCCTTTGAATCGATAAACGTATACACACTGTGTTTGAAAGAAGCAAGAAAACATGATGTTTTTATTGTTGGTTGTTTATATTTTCTAAGTTTGAATGTATCTTAAAAGTGAGATTGGAATGATAAACCCTTTGAACACTTTCTTTGAATCTTGAGGCATCGCTTTACGTGTCAAACGAATAATGAATTCATACTTTGGAACATGTACTTTTTGGGTGAGTCAAAATGCCAACCCCTAAACCCTATTTTAACGTTATATTATATTATATGCATTGCATTTCGTTTCGTTTCATCACAAAAACAATATCCAAGTGGTTTGATGTGTACGGAAAAAGACATTATTATTATTAATAAATGGTATTATACGTTTTACGTCTTTTGATTTAACATCGTTACACGAGTAAAAAGTGTCTTAGGATAACGTGGTTCTTAAAGAAATGATCTGGTCCGCAAATTGATGATAACATGGTGGTTATACAAATTTAGCTAAAAAAGGATTGTGTTCTTTTTCTTTGTTGAAAAAAGGCAGAATCTAGGTTTAATCTGGAGTCGGTGTCACCTAATGGTGTTGTCGAGAACTTTGTTTTATTTCTTGCATTTATTTATGCTAGTTGGTGAAATTCCATTGACGACTAGAGAATTTTGGTAATTAAAAGGAAGATCTCATCAAAATTGATGTGTCGATAATGTTGCCGTTCTGAAAATGATGTGAAATGTCATTGAATTCAAAGATCACGAATATGTGTGTTATTTTCCGTATTGTCGATTTTATCATTAAAATATACGAAATATATGATTGAATATATATATATATATATATATATATATAGAGAGAGAGAGAGAGAGAGAGAGAGATATTGTCTCAAATGCAACTCATCACATTTGTATAATATTTATTATGATTTAAATATTTATTGAAGATGAATAATGTTCATTAATTATGATAAATACTTTATATTAAGAAACAATCAAAACTTATATGAAATTACATATTCATCAAATTAAGACGGTTGAAATTGAGTTATATTGGTTGTACAAATGTAAGAGGTTATATATATATATATATATATATATATATATATATATAGACTTGGGATCATGTGAGACCAGCCTGTTTTCGTGAGACCCGTGAGACCAACATTTTACACTTGAAACTTCACAGCAAAATGCTGTGAAGGTGACTTTTTAAGTCTTCACAGTGTTTTTGCTGTGAAGGTTCGACTTTTTTTAAACTTTCACAGTGTTTTTGCTGTGAAGGTTACGTGTAAAAATGTGGTCTCACGGGTCTCACAAAAACATGCTGGTCTCACGTGAACCCAACCCTATATATATATATATATATGAACAATTATTTAGAACAATTATTAAAAAATATAAGGATTTAAAATAGTAGGAAGAAAAATATAAATTGGGTCGGTTACATTTAATATAGTTCATGACTCACTTTTTATTATAAAAAAAAAAAAAATTGAATAATAATGAATTGGTGGCAGAAGTTAAATGAATACCAGCTAATATCACCTCTTATT